ATTCATAAGAAGGGGAAATATTGTTCTTAGTGAAACTACATTAACATATGTATGATATAGCTATAAATACATCTAATATACATTTACTAGCTGACAATTTAATCTCTAAAATGTCGTTTTTGTGATTATCTAAATACCTTTTTGATCAATGTCAAGCAAACTGTTTTATTTTCTCTTTAATGTGATCGCACCAAATTACGAACATCGTGGATAATGAGAGAAATACGTTGATATTTCTCTCCAATACCACAGCTCAAATTGCTTATGTTGTCAATATATTTTACCTGTGAGAAGTTACCTTGTCGGTATACATTTCAAGAAATCTACTTGGACGTGCATTGTCATTTTTACTTTATTTCGAATGCAATAAAATAAAACAATATGAAAGGAGTAAACTGACTGTCGATTGAATTGATTTGCACAATTTTAGCACCTCTTTATTCCTATATAATATTTCTATATGTTTCTTAGTTTCAGTTATTATATTTTATTAAAGAAATGAATTCACCTGTCCGTAAACTAACTTTAACCAAGTTACTCTCGCCCTGGCGCGGAATATGAGAATAAGACCGTCTTCAGTCCAAATACGCGAAATGGCTTTTGATTCTAATTCTCAAAAAACAGTGCAAACGTCTGCAAGTACATGAGAACTTCCGCACGATTCAAAAACAACAAAAACCTCGACAATAATATCAAAATAATAATGACTAATGCCACAATATTGTACTCTGACACCAGACACAACTTTCAATACTGGATAATAGGTAAGTCAAATATTGTGTGAAGATTACATTGATTTCGATATGTATTCCTAACCCAGCCTATGGCCCGGCCATTACATAGAAAAGAGTTCACGCCAGTGTAAATTCTTCTTTAAGTATTTTCCCTCTCTTGAAAAGCAAAAGAGATATATCGACTAAGCAAGTGAGCGACTATTGTACACAATACCAATCATCATGCTATCCAAATGTGTGTACTTGAATCACTGTCTAATTTAGGAGGAATGTATGGTAAACTCGATTTAATAAAAAGAATGAAATCACCACTGAATTTTGCCGACTTACAGTGAGTACAATAACAACTATTATAACCACTGATTTGTAAATTACAAAACACATGCAGTCAAACTTTTCAACATAACTAAACGAAATTATCGTTACTTAACTTATCTTGTAGTCCATATATATTCCAACACATACAGTTTAATAATTTAGGAGTACTAGTGCATATAATGGTGCTTGTTTCAATCATGATGTCATCAATTTGGCAATGTCTCTTTCTCACTTGTCTCTGGCTTTCATCTCATATACGCTATATGCATTCTTATATTTCTCTCGTTCGACTTGTTTGATGTCTTTGGATTTACGGTATACGAGACCTCTTTGTTTGAAGAAACTAAGATTAGCCACGACCACCTGTGGATTTTTGTGCGACGACGCAATTCGGGGGTCTCTTTCGAGTTAAATTACCGCGCCGTCTAATTTAGTTGTGGTCAGTTTTCTAACTCTCTGTTCGGTTTAGTCTCTAACCGATGCATAACTAGATTATCACGTCGCATCTAATATTTCTGACAATCTTGTTCACTTGGTAGTAGTTTACGGATCTATTAGTTCTCTTAGGTATCAGTTTTCCGCTGCCATATCGTCCAGTGTTAATATCACGTTATGCAACTCGGTCATTACGTCCAAAGGAAGCATTGTCCACTGTGATTTCTGTGACGTAATTTCATTTGAGTTATTGAGTTTAGATTGCTTAGTTGTTTTCGGGACCCTTGATACATTTTATGTCTCCACAACTAATTAGCAGCATCGGAAGAAACACATTAACATTTCCCGGTGTGGTCAAATTGAGCCGCTGTAATCAATAAAAAACGCATCATAGATTACTTGTTCGTGGAAATCGAGGACCGCAGCGATTGTGCAGTGCGTTTTACATCGTAGAAATCCAAGTGACGGAGTTATGTTCATGACAAGTAGATGAATTCATGTTCTGTATAGTAAATCGACAACAGGGGACCACTCGGCACTTACCGACGAAAGCATTTCTAATGGTTCTACACACCTCTAAGACCATGGCTGATAATCAAACGCTGTCTCAAACAACCGGTAAAAATCGACAATGTAAAGGCGTGTCTTACAATTTGCTGTGGTCTGCTGACTGACCAAGCTGCTTCCACGATTCGAGATGGCGATGGCTGCGTGTGGAACACTATTTTTGCTATAGTTACACAGAGTGCAACACAATATTGCATCATTTTATGACACCTGTATCAGACGAACCATGCAATGGAGAATGCTTATAGATAAATTTGAATATGTTTGAGCACGTCTAAATATATAACTCCATATTTCAACTTGATATGATTGATCGAAAAATTAAACATTTTCCTAAGAAAACATACAGTATTTGTTCAAAGAAAAAGTGTTGTGATCATCTAATTTAAAATTAAGTAATTTGTAGAATTTATTGAGTTCAAAATAATAATGACATATAAATATTTATCAAAACTCCATTGGACGATCGATAACTCAAGGCTGAACATCAAAAAGAGGTCGACCCCAAACCTTGGATGAGAGTGCACATTTGGTAGGCCAGAACCACTAGCCGATATAAATAAAAACGAATGTAAATTTGTCGGACTATGTTTTGGTCTGCAACCAGGCCTAGTTGATAATACCATAACGCCATCGTGATATGATGAGTATCACACAATCCTGTTTTAACAAACTTGGAATCAGTGACAATATGTAGAGAATTTCCGCCTGTCAAAAAATCAAATGTATCAAAATGACAAAAATATTGGTGAAAATAGAGAATTAATGATATCGTCGCGAAATGAACAAATCTGATAAGTTCTACCCAAGGTATAGAACATATCAAAGCAACCCGTCTAATAGTTTTCAAGACGAATTCGAAAAATAATATTTCTTTTGCCAAAAATGACAAAAGTTTAGCTAAAAATAGATAATTAATGATATCATCAAATGAACAAATCTGATAGATGTCCACTCAATGTATTTATATATATCAAAGCAATCAGGATGATAGTTGTCAAGAAGAAGTCGAAAATGCAATTGTGGACGGACAACGGACAAACCCCATATATGAGCAGCTCCGCTCTGTCGTATACGATGACGGCGGAGCTAGAAGGTAACCGTATGAATCGTTGTGTTTTAATTCGCACTATTACCATTACCATTAATACTTAATACTTAGTAATACAATAGATAGTTGTCCCATTCAGACTGTTTGACTCACCACTGCATGATGTCATCGCGTGCACCTACTCTAGCCAGGGAAGTAAACACTTATAACTGCATAAATCATTCCAAAAATATGATTAATGTCGTAACTACGTGATATTTGTTTAACTGTTTGCTCACACACATAAATATAAAAGAGATCGAAATGAGTAAATGTCAACATTTCAGATGCACACAATTATGGCAGCACATGCAACAGGGCTGGTGAAATAAGGATCTGTTCATTTAAAAACTTCCAGGGCGGATGATTTCTCGGGGGATGCTAAATTTTTCTCAAATATTTTAAGGAGTGACTCTTTTTTTTTACATTATTCGTGGGGGTAAACAACAGCCACTTAACAATGTTAACACTATTTTTCCGATATAATGCAAATACGTTATTGTTTTAATGGCTCCAGTATATGGCCACGTTCAAGGAAGTAGAAACCATGCTTATCTAAGACAGAGAGTGGCAATTGTCACAACGCTTGCCACAATTCACGCCAACGCACCCCCACGCCACCCACCTCCAACTGCCATGTTTCGTTATGTCACGTGGTCCTCAGATAACGGATAAACACTTGATCTTGATCACTTGATCTAATTCATAAAATCATTTTAACGAGTTGGAACTAATCCACGTAATCGTAATCGACACAAATATTGCTCAAAGTAGGTATCATGTGAAATCTTGAGACTTAAGTACATGTATAAGCTCGCTTCGTCACTATTTTTGCCACTACGCACACATATCTAATGAGGACACTTAAAAGTAAAATTATAAATTTTCAATTGCAAATTGAGAATTTGTAGTTGTCATCAGAAAGTTTCATATTTGAACGACTACATTTTCGAGATAATCTGGATGTATTGTGGGCGCGCGCAAAGACTTATTATATTGTATAATAATAAAGTGGGGAAGTATTAATTAATCGATATTGTCTTAATTTGATAGGAAACACTCTACCGACAATGATTTGTCTGTATGTATACATACAACTGATAAGTTGGGAAATTATAGTAATTAAGCGATAACAAATATATAACTTAAACGTATCCATATTCATAAGCTACAAATAATATGTTTATTAAAATCATCATGTATTTGTAATACAATCTTATAGCAGAAGTTGATTGATACTAAAACAAAACAGGATACATTGATCAAGAATGGTTCTCGTCATATATGTGTAATTGAAACGTGCAGATACAAATATGAATTGTAATTGCCGAGTATGCTCCTCCTGGTAGCATATCACTTAATTATGAATACAAAATGTTTTGATAGTATCTAATGTTGTAAAGGAGGTTATAAATAGGTTCATGAATTTTGAGAGGGCTACCCTCAAATACAACACTCTAATCATTCGGGCCCTCTGGAAGTGTTAAATGGACAGTCCCTGAGCTATTTGTCTGATATGTGTTTGTTTGGTAAAATAGCTGCCAGTTCTTTATTTTTTCATTTTAATATCGCTTCGTGCAAATCAGTAACATAGGGTAAAATATACACACAGCAAAACGGGAAGTAAGGACTCAATACTTTGCACGTTTGTATCACCCACCTCGAGACATTCAATTGGTCGGTCTCTGACACGCCCAATTGACTGTCGCGTCTTGAAAGCTAGCCAACCCTGGCAACTGGTAGGAAGGCCGTTTATGGTTTATTTAAAGTTGGCAGTATCACATGACCAGGGACAAGTTATCTTTGCCAGTTTACATAATTTGGAGGCCATTGTCACATCGATAGTGCAACAAAAATTGTATATCAACATGATGTGGCGTCCGATACTTACCGGGATCATGCTCATGTGTGCAGCACATATAACTACTTCGACGACACCAACAGCGGACACCAAACCAGGTTCTTTTGAAAGCCATAGTGTGTTTACAGTAAACGAGTGAGTTAAATTTACTTCATTTAATGTAGTAATCACGCCACGGCGTAATGCATAAGTAACCCCTCAAACTGATGGATAAATTATACTTTTATTTATGCTAGGAATCGATCGGAGTTATATTGTATATTTATTTTACTCGTTCACACAACTGAGATGAAAAAAAAAGTGCGATTTTTTTTTTTGATTTAGTCCAGCTGTGAGTTACATTGGATTGCTGGAACCACACATAACTATGATATTGATTTCGCTGGCACAACAAATTCAAATCGTAGTTTGAAGCATACACAATATTGGCGATTATTACGCGTTTTATAGAAACAAATTCATGAAGACAAAGTAGATTCGTTACAAGGTTATTTGTGATATTTTATTTTAAATTTATACGCAAAAAAATGGCGGGCTGAATTGTTTGCTTAATATTGCACATAACTCACAGAAAGTAATAAATTTCACTATAAACACACATTGGACACCACACAGGGTCCAAAGGTCTGTGCTTCCTACGTGCCATTTCACTAATCCTTAAAATGGCTATCTTAAATCGACACTGCTGTTTTGTTTTACATTCTGTGTACTGTTTATCGTAGGGCGATAAACACTGTAAATACAATGAAAAGCAAATATGACTGAAAATATTGACATCCCATCTACTAACGATGTTCTAGCATCGAAGCCCGGCGTGCATTGCGGCTGGCATTGATAATTACATGTATAAGATGTATCATAGTAACAAGAGGTGAACAATAGGGAAGATAAAACTTACTTAAAAATATTCCTCACTATATTCTTGCTTATAACACAAATCAGACAGCGCCGAACTTATAGCTCGATTACTGAATTTACAGGCATATTAGTTGCGAGGACAAGGTTTATAGACAGAGTGTAATTTTATAGCGTGGGGTGGTTAATTATTAACACTAAACTAGATGAAGGACATTGACACCGCACCTTTCATCCCAAGGTGCAACGAAGATATTTACTACGT